GGCTGTGACACCCTTCCTTCAGCCCTGCTACAGGGCAGATATTGCAAACTGCTCACGATGCCAAAAGGGTAGGCTCAGTACCACAAATTCCTTGCGTTGCAAGTTTTATCGGACTTTGTGTCGTCCCCTTCTAGCAGTAATCCCCAATTTCTTGTCACATTTTGCTCACTGATAAGGAGTGTTACACAACCTACACTCTTACAATGTTTTATTATCTAGCTCTAGCATCAAGGGGATCCCCAGCAAGATTTAGGATGGATTGGGGATATGCCTAGTTGCGATGGATGCATTTTAATTCTCTTTTTCGGTTTTATTTGCTGTCCAAAGGTGGTAGTAAATTAAAGTGAAATTTCCTGCCTCTGGATGCAGATCATGGAGGCGGCAGCGGTCTGTATCTGTGCCTGTGGCCATATATGCAACATACAGTATGTGCCCCACAGTGCCTGTGTGTGTCTACGCATCTCTGTCCTCCCTCTACCACCTGGGAGAGGCCACCTCCTGCGTGTGGCACTGCAGAGGCAACCCTGCCCACCTCCTCCTTCCTCTGCTGGTCTTTTCCCAGCAGTTACATAATCTCTGGTGACTGGGGAGCTGGGCTGAGTTGGGGCAGGGTAGCTATTTCCAGAAGCTGTAAGCGCTTCAGCATTCAGCTGCTGTGATCCCTTGTTTGGCAGCAGTCTAAGGGTAGGGTGGGACACACACAGAGAGACAGAAAACCCTCCAAGCAAAAGATCCCCTGCAGAGATGCCCACCCCCTGCCCCTGAGTGGCTGGGGAGTCCCAGGCTTCAGGAATATTGGGGTGGCTTTCCAAGGAGGGGGGCAGGGAAAGCCAGCCTCCTCACGGAGCTCTTAGCAGCTGCCAGGATCCTTACAGGGTTTGAAAGGAGGGACACAGGAATGCAAAGGCCCAGCAAAAGCTCTCCAATCAAAGGCAAAAGGGAAAGTTTTCACAAAGAATTTGTGGCAGGAAATCAGGATGCCAAGCTGGAGCATGTCAAGGGCAGCCATGCTTTGCCATGGCAACCCAAATCCCAGTTTTCTTTTGCTGGCACTACAGAATCCCCCCCCCTCCCTCCACCCGCTTTAATTCTTTTAGGAACAGGCCTGGAGCCATTCTCAGCTTTGGGGGCCCAGCCGGTGCTCTGTCACAAGCGGCATTTTGAGGCAAGGATTCCCCAAGGAAGACTGAGCTAACCAAACGAAGAGGGGAGACAGGCACCCCTCCCTCAAGGCCTGCGGTGATTCTGTCTCTGGGAAAATACATATTTTATGCTCTTACCCCTAGGAATATTGCCCTTCCCAACTTGGTGAGTGGGATCCAAGGCTCTTTGGTTGCCATGGACACCTGAGCCCCATATAGCCAGGAGTGCTGGCCCTCCACAGGGAAACAGTAGGGCAAGGAAGCAACTACCCTGTTTTGCCCCATAAAATATGGAGAAGTGAAAAAAGACTCAGGCATCTCGCTTTCAAATTGGCATTGCCACTAAAAAGAACATTTGCACCTTAGGGTTGGCCGGTGGGGTCCTTGGTGCTCTCTGAAGTTGCCGGTTTTCTTGGTCTTTCATTACCAACTAGGTAACATGATCAGTGCACTGACAATTAATGTCAGCATCAACCATGATGTTTCCTAGTTGGGTAAATGAAACATCTGCAAGAAAAGAACCAAGTCCAGAGAGCACCAAGGACGCCACAAAATGGCCCTGTTATTTTGCAGCTGGAGAAATCAATCATGGCAGTTTCTATTTCAGCTCCTGGGTCCGCATCAGCCTGTATTTTGCCGGAGGGGGTGGGGGTGCCTTTTGCAAGAGGCAGAACATCTGCTATGCATGCAAGAGCCCCCATTCAGCTCGATCATTGCTCCTAAAGGGGATCTTGGTGGGGCTAGAAGAGCTGCTCTCTGGCAGAGCGAGAGTTTACTCTTGTGGGGCCATAGTTGGCCCACTAGACCTCCGGGAAGACTCAATTTGAAGCTGTGCTTGAAAAATCATCTCCGTGATTCGGAGGAATTGGGGAAAGTGGGGCATCTCAGTGCTTGACAGTTCCTGAAGCACCAAAAACAGCACCAGAAGGCAAGGCTAGAAACAGTGGATGGAAACTAATGAAGGAGAGAAGCGACCTGGTTAAGGAGAAATGTCCTAATGGTGAGAATCAGTGGAAGGGCTGGCCTCCAGAAGTTGTGGATGCTCCGTCACTGGAGGCTTTTAAGAAGAGACTGGACAGCTGCTTGCCTGGAATGAGATAGGGTCTCCTGCTTGACTAGAGGGTTGGACTAGAACAGCGGTCACCAACTGGGGGTCCATGGAGAAAATTTAGATGGTCCACAGAAAAATTATTTGCATTTTTAATATTGCACTAAATCAGGGGTCCTCAAACTACGGCCCCTGGGACGGATACGTGCAATGAATGTTTGGGTTGCTGCAGAGAGTCTCCCCCTTCGGTCTTTTTGTGTGGGTTGGAGGGGGGCAGAAATTCTGACTTGGGGTCTGTTTCAGCCTCCTGGTGTGGGGCTTTGGGTGAAGGCTGGAGGGAAGTGCCGCTGGTGGCGAAGAGCCAGAGGGCCTCGTTCCAGTGGGACAGCATCATGGCCTGGAAGTGGCTGACCATCTCAGCCCACTGAGCCTCCTGGCGCCAGTACCTGGCCTTGCACTCCTGCAGGTCTTCCCTCTGCTTGGAAAGCCTATGCTCCTAGTCCTCAGTGAGGTGCTTCTGCTGAGCCTCCTTCTCGGTCAGATCCAATTTGAATTGATCCAGCTGCTTTGCCAACTCTTTCTCGTGGTGGCTGCTTAGCTCCAACAACTGCTTCCTGTTGGGGCCCTAAGGAGCCCAGGCAGGCAAGCAAGAAGTGTTTGGGAGGGGAGGGGCGAGTAGAAGCCGTCAAGGCACTCCTTGATGTGAGTGACATCAAGTTGGCCACACCCACCCAGTCACATGACCACCTAGCCGCACCCACCCAGCTGGTCATTAGGCAGATCATATTAGTGGTCCGCGGAATTTAAAATTAGTGGTCCCTGAGGTCCGAAAGGTTGGTGACTCCTGGACTAGAAGACCTCCAAGCTCCCTTCCAACACTGTTATCCTGTTAAGGTTCCTTTCAGCAGCACAGCTTAGCCGTTCCTGCAAAGCACCACCTTTGGCAAGTTCTTCCCCATTGATGTCTCTAGCCAGGACTTTTCAGTCCAACCATTCTTCCAAGGCATGCCTCCCACTGTGGCCAGAACAGGTGTGACCGTGAGCACCAGGCACCTCACTGAGCAGGTAAGGGCTTCTACCTCACTGTAGAGGCCAAGGTTAGAAGGTAAACAACCCAGCAGAAAATATGCAATATCAGCTGTTCCAATAAACGTCTGAAGAATTTGGCAGCTGCCAAACCATCCCAATAAAAATAATTTATATGCTTCCTAACCCTTCCCAAATATTTCTTTGAAAGCAAAGGTGAGAGCAGATCAGGGAGGGAGCAAAGGGCGCCTCCCAGGAGAGGAAGAGGCAGGACTTCACCTTGGCGAAGGTGGATTCCAGAGACTTCAATGCCAAGCAGCCAAAGTTCAGATGCGCAAAGGCCTGGGCCAAGTGTGGCCATTGCTGGCAGCAGCTGAGCCTTCGCTGGAGGAGAGCAAAGGCCTCCAAGAGGGTCACGTGCAGAGCTGGAAGCAACTTCTTGACCTGCTGCTGCTCCACTCTGGCCTTTGGAGACTCTTTTGACACCCAGCTGGATCCCAGATTAGCTGTTGACAGACCATCCTCCTGCAGCAGCAGCTCCTCCGCCCCATGGAAGTGCCGCCCCCTTGTGGTCCTTGGGGAACTGCTAATTTAGACCAGGCGAAGAGTGCTAAGCGGGAGGGAGCAGCAGAAGCAGCCGTCTGTGACAAGGCTTTCATTGTACCAGTTCATTGCTCTGACCTCCTTTGCTTCCCATCAGTTTCCCTGCAGGCCTGGGTGCAACTGGGCCACTTGCTCTGTTCTGACTCCCAGCCCCCAAGAAAACACCTGCATGAGGCACTGTAGCTCCCGGCCCATCAGGGTTAACTGGAAGAGAACTTGAAAAATGGGAAACGTTTCCAAAGCTGGTTGAAATCCAAACGTCCGAGGAATCCAAGGGCAGCCTTTGGAGCCCTCAAGAGCCACAGAGTTTGGCAGGCTCAGTCACAACACCCATCTCGCATCACTCCTTTGCACATCTCCTGCTCCCAGGCCCACTGCAGGTTGCTGGTTACCTGTCACATAATCATCAGAAAAGTGAGAATTCCTGGGCTCCACAGGCTGCAGGTGAGCCCCATGTTTACGATGTCAGAGGGCAACCAATCCATGCATTCCCAGAAAGCAAACTGGGGAGGCTGCCTATTTTGTCTGCCATCTCAGCCTACCTTGCATGAAGGAAGTACTTTAAGGAAAGAATGGAGGAGCCATTGCGAGCGGGAAAACGCTCATTTATTTTCTGATTCTTATAAATAAAGGGGAAGCAGGTGGTTTTCCTCCAAAATATAAAACCAGGTGGGACATAGAGTCCGGGTATCAATGGAAACATTTGCAACAGGTTGGTGCTGACAGATCTCAGGTGGGGAACTAGGGACTCTGTTGCTGCACTCCAAAAGTCTGTCCCAACTAGCAGAAGAAAAAGGCTTCAGGGCGAAACTGGTTAGGGACTCGAGTGCTAGTTAACTTGAGGTTAGCCCCTTTAGAGGGTCACTAAACGGGAGGAAAGCACTTTTGGGAAGGGAACACTCCTTTAAACAATCTCTCTGAAGACAGGAAGAAGAAAATGGGTCAGGGGATCAGGCACAGGACAAAGTCAGGGAGGAAAATTCGGAGGGGGGGGGGGGAATTCTGCTTCCCAGCAGGGGAGGGGCACTCCTTTAGGTTAAACAAAGGGAAATAACTCCCTTTCCTAGGAAGGGAGAAAATACCCGTGTGATAGTGCCATCTGGCATTTTGGGCATGAGCTGCATTGGAGTCTTGTTCAATCAAATGATTATTTGAGTTATCAGAAAAAGGCATGACACGGCTTTACAAAACTTCACGATTTATTAACCTTGTCAGGATCAGGAGTGCATCTCAATACAGCCACCAGAAACTGCAGCTCAGAGCCAACAGGATTTCCCCCACCCCCCACCCCGCTCCCAGACTGAAGCCAGCTCTCTTTTGAGGAAAAAGAAGGAAGAGAAGACACCAAGAAACTCAAGGCAGAAGAGAAAGAAAATGCACCGGAAACAATATTTCAGAAAGGAAGGAAAATGCAAGAGGCCAGAGAGGAGGGCCTCTAAGGACTGCTGACAGCCAACAGGGCCCCCTTCCCTGCCCCAGTTGAAACCCTCAGCCCAGTTCTGAGACAGCCAGCAGGACAAGGACTCTTGGACATCTAGGAGAAATCAGAATCCCTTTCGATTCATAATAGGTTTTTTTAAGAAAAAATCCCTACAAAAGAGAGAGACTCGCTTGTTTTTCAGCTGCTCACAAAAGGAGTAATTTATTCAAAAGGTTGTCACGTGCCACGAATGGGGGAGAGGAGGGTGCCTGCCACGGCTCCAAGGCTCATGTTCACCTGCGAGCATCTTCACGGGAGCAGGGGGGCAGTGGATGCATGCAGAGGCCCACCGGGAGAGGGGCAGCAGGTTCACCTGGAACTCCACTGGAGCAAATGCATCACAGAGTAATGTCTGCAAGGCCTATAGAAAGATGGGAGAAATCGGGGCTTTCACACTTTTTTAAGCAGAAAAATCTTATTTCCCAAAACCCCCAATCAAGAAGCAAAGTTCTAGTAACAGGAAACTGTATCTGGGTGAGCTTTTTTTGCCCTTAGATTCTCTTGGAAGCCCATCAAATTCTCACAGAACCTTCCAGTTCCTCCCAATGCAGACCGAAAACCCTCATCTAAGCAGGACACATGTAGGGAGAACCACAGTGAGCGGACACCTTACTGGCTTCTGCTGGCTAAAAGACAGCTTTTGTAAGGAGAAGCCCAGGCAGATGCTGGATCTGAGGGGAGATGGTTGAGATCATCCACATGACTCTCCAGACAGCTGCTCCTCATGAGCAGACCGCAGAAACTGCCATTTTTAAGGTTTCCTTATGAATGGAGTGACTGGGAGTTGGGATAACATCCAAGTTCATACTTGCAGAGCAGCCTATACAGACATTAAGCTCAACCAAGCCTTATATCTTAATCACCTTTTTACATTATTTTATGTTTTGTGTATTGGAGCAATTGAAACATATCGGACGAGCAAGGTTCTACTGGACTCATAAGTTTCTGTGTCCTTAAAAGAGATGGTATAAATTTGATTTTAAATGTTTTACAAATGTATGGTTTTTGGACTATGAAGCAAAAGGATGCTGCTGGATTTTGAAAATTTAACAACAGAATTAAGACATCAGAGGGATTTGGAATTATAGCTTTGAATTACTTGGAAGATACTTTTTCATGGCAAACGGAGATTGATTTAAAAAAAAAAACAACAACTATTGAATACCTTAGTGCAGGGCTATCAGACTCGCAGCCCAAGAGCCGGATGCATCACACGCTGGCCATGGCCATGCCCAGTTTAGCAAAGGGGGGGGAAAGTCACAATACATCACGTGATGCCGCCATGATGCAAGTTTGACACCCCTGCCTTAGTGTAAATTTTTGAATAGTGCAAGCTTCTGGACAGAATGGATCAAACACATGATGAAACTGATAGAACGTGTCCTTAAGGAAGTTGTAAAACAAGAATGAGCTGCAATGGATGGCAATGAAATTAAATTGAAGGGGGATTTAAATGTAATACAAATAAATTTGATGGGTGACTTGTTCCCTAAAGGAGATATTAAACCAGGAAGCTGATTTAGATAATTTTTTTCTTCTGGATATACAAAAGACCTCTGCTAAGATTTGAAAGGTCTTTTTTTAAAAAAATGACAACAAAAGGATAAATTGTACTTGTTCATACAAAAGAAATCTGTTCTGAAGAATTATTGCTTTGAAACAGATGATCAGCAAATTACCTCTGGGCCTCTTTTTGAATGGTTTAAAGAATATGTTTTAAATATTTAAATAAGAATTATAAGATTGGCTTGCGTGACCAGTTAAAAGAAGTAGTTATATTTGCCCTTATTGGACTTTTACTGACAAACACTGATTGGCGTACCATTTGACTTTGTTTTCTTTACTTAAGAGATGAGCTATTGGGAAGAGAGAGATTATTTAGAGACAGTCACAGCAAATAAAATTAATTTTACCTGCTGGGATGAAGGGGAAAGCTGCTTCTTTTTTATGTCTCTCTTTTTCCCCTTTTCTTGTATTTTTCTATATTTTTAATAATTTATATTGATTTTTTTCCCTTTTTCATTTATATTTCTTAATAAAAAATATTTGGGGGGGGGGAGAAATACTGACAAGCCAAGACACATGTGGATGACCTGCCTCCAGGCACAGCAACAAGCCCCAAATGCCACTGGTCTGGAAAGGTCCAAAATCAGACAGCCTGTACTAGTCCTTCAAGCTCTGAAGCAAGAGACAAGAAAGAGGACCATACCTAAATTCTGGGAATCCTTGATAGCCCAGCACAGGCAGTAATGTTGCATGAGCTGCTCAAATGGTTCCTTCTCGTCCAGAAACTCAAGTGCCTCTACCCTGGAAGGAAGAAGACAAGACAGACGGTAGCAGACACAAGCTGCACTTAGAGAGAAAGGAGCTACCAGGATGAATTAGAGCAGAGGTCTTCAAACTTGGCAGCTTTAAGACTTGTGGACTTCAATTCCCAGAATTCTCCAGCCATAGGTATGCTGGCTGGAGAATTCTGGGAACTGAAGTCCACAAGTCTTAAAGCTGCCAAGTTTGAAGACCTCTGGATTAGAGCCAGGGTCAAATTCCTAGCTAGGTCCAAAGCTCACAGGGAAGCTTTGAACCAGGCCTCCTTGTATGTATCAGCCCAACCCAGTCCAAGGAGCCCAACAGAGAAGCCTAGTGGTGCCTCTGAACAGCTATATCACAATCTGTATCACAATCACAATATGGTTGGAGAGCCATATTAAAAGAATAATAGATAACAACTGAGTGGATAATTGACATGCCCTCTGTGAGGGCTACAGAGTACCATAAAACCAACATAGCCAAAGTTTTGCTCAACAAAGCCCAGCCTGTGTCCCCCATGGTTGAGACGTTTGAAATTGGGGTTCAAAGGAAACCCTTAAGACACGCACCCCAACATTGCTGCATTTACCAAATACCTAGGTCAAAGTTTTATACTGGTTTTGTTCCTTTTCCCCCCCAGCATGTTCAGGTTTCATTTCCTCACCAAAGTGGGTAGCTGTCATGATCTGAGTGTTATGGTACAGAGCACCCCAAAATCAATTTGGCCCCATTGGCCATTTTCATTATTTTAAAATATCAAGCTTGCACGGTATGTAGGTTTTTAGCTATAAAATCTCACTGTAAAAAAAGTCATGTGATCAGACTCAAAGTCATTAAAATGTATTTCAACAGCTTTAGACTGATTTAGTTAAAATACTTAATAGCATTTTCAGTTATTCTATATTAAGTGTAAACTTAATGAACTGATTACAAAGTAATGTAGTTCAGTTTACAAATCCCTCATTATTCTTTTTCTCTTTTATATTAGGTAGGCACAGAGTAACTTTTCAGATGCTTATTATCTTTTCAAAGCATTACACTACTGCTGTGGGCCATGAAACTCTTCCAACAGAGTCAGCAGCAACTCCTTAAAGCAGGATTTTACTTTTCTGTGTTTTTAATTCCACAGGGCTCTTTGATTTGAGGAAGATGAAGGCTTCCCAATCCCAGGGGCATTTCAACAGCTTTGGTCAAGTCTCATCCTTATGGTGAGACCGAGGAAAAGCCCTGGAACTGACCATTCTCATATATCAAGCAAATCCTTTACAAAAATATACTAAGATAATTTTCTGACCTGAGCCTGTCTGGAGTACACCAAACATAACTTTGCAAATTCTTATGTTATAAAACTTTATATGTGAACAAATCTAAGTCATTTGTAAAGTAGCTTGTATCATAGTATCATCATACAAAGAACGCAAATTTTCTGTTAAATATTAACTGTTCTGTTCTATTTAATGGACATTTGTGAATAGCAGACATCTCTGCAAATTATCCTGTTAAAAACGTTTCATTGCATCCCTTTCTACACCAATGGGCCAATATTTATTCATTGACAACTAATTGTAATTCCACTATCAAAATTCTCCAAATAGAACAATTGCTGTCTTTCTCCCTGGCAATAAGACTAAAATTTATTTCTAGATCACGCATTATTCATTTTTCCAATATTTTCTATTAATGTAAGAAGCATCAGTAAGACGCATTAGTGTCAAGTACATCATGTATAACTTAAGTTATATCCTGTCCATTATCCTTTCATCGAAATGTGCTTTCCAACTCACTCACTCTCTTACCTAAGAAACCCATCCAATGTTTTCAGTCCATTAAGAAAAATGCAAGTTCTCCGAGTGTATCAGTTACCCACTTTTAGAGAAGGGAAGAGATGGGAAACCTGGGCTTGAAGGAACAAACTGCAAAAAACTTTGGCAAAGGTTTTGGTTGTGGATGTGCAAACTCACCAATTCAGGAACAGAACGTTCCGTTGAACCCTGGAATGTTCCATTCCCCCTCCAGACCTTGTTGTTCCGGGGGCAGTTTCCTGAAGTTATCAGTGAGTTCTGCACATTCCTGGTTTGGAGCGAATATAACAATGTTTTTAGATGCTGCGTCTGAATCCTGATTTGACATTTTGGTAACTCTTAAATACTAGGATAACCAATTAAGGCTTACTGGAACAAAAAGTATAAAACTATTATTACACTTTGGTGCCAGCCGAGGCCATATTGGTTCTCAGGCGGTCTGCAGTTTTTGTACTCACTTTTAGGTGAGTGCAAAACCTTGGCTTGCTGGAGCAAAATGCTACAAAACCAAAAAGTATTTCATAATTAATTTCACAACTCTTTGCTTTTAGGAAACCTCTGGACTTGGCCTTCCTTGCTTTTTAACATCTACATGGATCCTCTGTGAGGTCCCATAAGAATCAGCAGCATTCAGGAAAATTGGACATGCATTCTGGAGACACCTCTGGAGACCAAGCTGAGTTCCACAGGTACGCTTTTTCTCACTCAGTTTGGTAAACCAATCAATCTCACCTGGCAAAAGCAGATGGAACCTCTTACACACATTGGTTAGGACTACCCTGCAGGATTCTTGTTTATTTATGTTCCAGGTTTGGCAATTTTAGGAAAAGGGCGGGGGGGGGGGGGGGGGTTAGGCAATTTAAAAATACATCAATTTTGCAAAAAATAGATCATAATTTATCTATTTACTTCCAAATTTGGTTTCAAATGAGAACCCCTGCTTTGGAACAAGGCTAGTTCAAGTACTGCAATCCCACATTCCAGTCCAATCTTGGGACCTTCAGATCAGCATCAGGTACCTCACTCTGTGGCCTGTCCTTTCGTATGCTCAGGCTGAGAGGGCTTAAGGGCACAGCACCTCCAGCTATCATCACCAAACATGTGGCTCATTCAGTGCTATCTGCCATCTGTTTCTACTGTAAACAAACGTATCAGGGATCACCCTAGAATGTACAGTAAATATAGTTTTCGATATAGCAATAGCATCAGTAATAACACTTAGACTTATATACCACTTCACAGTCCTTTGCAGCCCTCTCTAAGCAGTTTACAGAGTCAGCATATGGCCCCCAACTAATTGAGTCCTCATTTTACTGACTTCGGAAGGGTGGATGGTTGAGTCAACCTTGAGCTGGTCAGGATTGAACTCCTGACCGTGGGCAGAGTTAGCCTGTAATACTGCATTCTAACCACTGCTCCACCACGGCTCTATAATATATAAACTATATAGTATAGTGTAACTCTAAAACTGTATCATCATCATCTTTGTGGTTTTTGTCACCATTATCACCTTGGCTCAAACCATAGTCAGAGGAAGTTCACTTTTTCACTGAAGGTAAACAGCATAGTTTAGTGGGCTACTTCAGTGCAGGTTAGCAGGTATGTGAGGTTTTTTTCCAATCTAAGGTTGAGCGAGAGGGACTAGTCCAGAGTCCCCCAGGGGATTTTCTGCAGGGAATTTCCATGGGTGAGGAGGCACCAGGCCTCTCTCTTCCTAGTCCAGCACCTTCACTGCTACCTATCCATTACCGATTATTCTTGTCTCCTCTTCCCCCCCCCAAACAACCCAGTGAGTTGGGTTGAGCTGAGAGTCACTGGCCCAAAACCATCTACTCAGTTGGCTTTCAGGCCTAAGGCAGGACTAGAACTCACTATCTCCTTGCTTCTAGGCCAGCACCTTCACCACTACTCCAAACGGGCTCTCACATGCTTTATGTGAACACATATACAAACATACACCTGTGTGTGCTCTCTCTTTCTACCTCTGGATAAAAATAGCAAGAAGAGAAGCTCACCTTTTGATCTCATCTGATGGCAAACTCTGATAGACTTTCAGCATATCAAGACCATTTACTGTTTCCCAGCCATGTTTCAGGAACCGTTCCTTCTGCGAATGAAATGCAGGAGAAAAATCTGTGAAAGGCAGATTTTCCAAGACTCAAGAAGAAGATAAATCACTCAAAAGGTTACCCGCCATTCAGCTTAAGATCCGTTGGGCAAAATACTAGAACAGGCTGCCAAGCAGTCGGTCTGAAAGTTCTTAGAAAAGGATGTCACCGCACAAAGAATTAACAGTCTCTGAAAGATCTGGGAAAGGTTTAGCCTTGAAAATTCCTTTTCAATTTTCAAAAAATTCTTTTTTAACCTTTAAACATCTGAAAGGATTTCACAAAGAAAAGAGTCAAGATTTGCTCTTCATCTTTCCAGGTAATGGATACATCATGGGTAAAATAATGGATAAAACATCAAGGAAACAGAACCTGGTTGAACATCATGAAAAATCTTCTAACTGAAGGAAGAGCTCAACAGGAAGCAACATTTAAGGAAGGGCTGAACTGGCACCTGTCAAGGATACGGTCAGTTTACATTCCTGCTCTCCCTCTTTGCATGCAGGGAGTTAAGACTCAGCGGTCTAAATGGTCCTGACCAACTCTACTGTCCTAAGGACAAAAATGGTGCCACTCACAGACTAAGAGGGCCACAAAGCCAGTCAGTTGGCTTTTATATAATGTCAGCATGAGCAATCTCCTTTTATCAAGCCTGGCATATCTCCAAAACAAGGCCTGTTATGGCAGCAGCACCCAACCTTTTGGGTGTCAGGGATCGGTTCTGTGGAAGGCATTTTTCCTGTGCACTGGGAGGGTTGTGGTTTCATGTGCTGCTTGGATCTCATGCATGCGTGGATGAGGTTTCACTCATTTGTGCGGCCCAGTTCCTGGCAGGCCACAGACCAAGCCTGGGGTTGGGGACTCCTGTGTTATGGGATGGAACACGTAGAGCAAAGGACAGGATGAAGTTGGGACCTGAATGCAAGCACTAGCGTTTGGACAAAGCCCTCCTCTTTTATTGGGGGTTTACCAAGCTGAGTCCCACCATCCAGAAAATCTGACCTGGGTCTCCAGAGATCTGCAAGCGTCTGCACCAACCAGCTCGCACTGCTTGTTCTGCAAGTTCTCAATCATGATCTGTCCAAAGCGATCCAACATATTCACCTGGAAAGGACACAGGATGTCTCGTCATTCAGAGCACAAGTGCACAAACGAGCTTCTGTGGCTGTGCCAGCTCCAGCAATAGTCTGGAAGAGTGATGGGCTTTGGGGTTCACTTCTCTGAAATTAATTAAAGCTACTCAAGCTTTTCAGGGTTCAGTGTAGACCCAAAAAGGCATTCCAGAGCCAACTTGGTAAATTTAAGACAGCTCTTAAAAGAGCAGCATCTTTCAGGTCCATTTAGAACCCTGGAACTCCTGGCTGCTCCAGCAGGTGGTAGAAAGGTGCAGCCATCGTGCAACATCCAAAGGGTCTTGCTATACCCGTATCTTTTTAATCTCTGCCCAGAACCTCCCTTTCATTCTTAGATGCACCCCTAAAAACCAGATCCTCACAACTCTCAGCTACAAGAGCAAACACCCTGGGCACTGGAATAGCAGTAGCTATCCAATGAGGGTTTATGTGCCAGAACTTCCCACTAGGTGGAATGTCCTGAAAGCTCAATAAATGCAAACAAATGGCCAAATCTGGTTTCTCAGTTCCAGATGAGACTGAAAAAGTTTCTTCCCATTGCAGAATACACAGCAGTGGGATCCCAATACTTGGAGGAAATCACTTTTCTCAGTACTTATTGCCTGACACTGCACAGTTGCTGGATGTTGTACAGATTTAAAAAATAATAAAAATAATGCTCACAGAGCAACTCAGTGTGACCCCAAGTAATTGTCACCGCACTCCGATTTGCAAAGGGGCCAGTCTAATAACACTGAAAAAAAGAAAAGCAAACGGTGCTTTTATTCCAGCTGTAACTGCTTTCATTCCCAAAATTGCAATATCAAATCTGTCACTTGCATCTTTCCCGAGAGCGGTTTATCCTTTTCATAAGGATGCATCTTGCACCACTGTTAAAAAGCCAGCGTGTTAAGCCTCAATGGATTAATATTTAATAAAAAAGTAAGGTTGTTTTCAGGGCTATATCTCTTGAGTTCAACCACCTCTGACGTAGAAGCTCTTCTTCTCAAGAAATAATTAATCCAGTTTGAGAAGATCTCTGCTCTTGTATTGTGGGAAGCAATGCAGAAATAGCAAGAATAATGTCCTGCTGGGGGAACGGCTTTATAACCGCATCAATCCCTAACCCCGAAGCAGCCATGCCCCGAAAGGAGGGCATTTCTCTCTCCCTTTCTCTATTGCATACTTGGTTTGGGCACTGAAAGGGGCAGCGGAGAATCCTTGCTTACCTGCTCATAGTTGATAAACATGGCAGACCGAAATGTGTTTGCCACCCACTTGATAAGGTCACCCGAATGCTCCGTGGTCATGTAGATGAGCACACATTCCGTCATCAGGAGCGTTGGCAAACTTTTAAACACGGAAAGAAGAAAGGGCAAGGGATTGAAAGAATTCAGGGTTTCCCCCCCTCATCTTCAATTCTAGGTACTGCAAGAAGTCCCCAAAAGATTGTCTTGTGTGTTCAGAAATGCCCTTTATACAATTTTAATTTATTCGAATTAGCTGCCACCTGACTCTGGGCAGTGTGCCATAAAGCCAAGAATACAAAGTCAGAATGTGATAAATGTAAAAGAATAAGAGTAAGAAACCAAAACTGATGGCAGCTCAGGGTAACTACACCAGGGCCCCCAACCACCTGAGCCAGGCCCGGAAGAAATGCCATCAGGGTGGCAGCCATACAGAGATTCTGGTGCCCATCTTACTCTGGATCCATGTGGCATTTCTTCAGCTGTTCTTCCATTTTGGGCAGGTCTCGAAGATCACCTCCAACAATGGCATATCGGCTGGTATCCAAACTATGTGCATCTGCAAAGGAATCACCAGGGACAGCTATTTTTAAATGCTCCCCAACTGAGGGCAAGGACAACCATGTCCCAGAAAAGCAAGGAAGGAACCTTGCAGGCCTTGGGGTTTCTGACTCCAAGGCCCTTGTTTCTCCATCTTGGGGGGCGGGGGGGGGCGGGGGCAAAGAGGTTGTCAAACTCTTTTAACAGCTAATTCCTTCCGAAAGACTACCTGAGGAGCAGCCTCAAATGTCCATATTTTTCACAGAAGGAAAACTCTCAAGGCAGCCACAGATCCTCTGCTTTCAGAGGCAGGGAGATAACATAAAATAAATTATTTTAGGGCAACAACATTGCATTTCCCCATTTTCAGAGAAGTTCATATTGATGGCATCTGAGAAAGTTTACAGGTTTGAGCCTGTAAATAATTTGAAGAATTTTAATCTCAAATCCAAACGATTTGGAATCACTTCCTCTCATGAATCATGTATGTCTCCTCCACAAAACAACTGGTAGACATTTCCCTATGTTCTGTAGCCCATCCCACACTGATATGTTACTTTCAATGAAAGCAGGCATTTTATGGAATACCTAGGAAATCTATAGAATGCCAAAAATGGGACATCAAAGGATTTAGCATTTCACACATTTCCTAGGCATTCTATGCAACCCCAGAAGCCATTCTAGCCTTGCTTGTTGCAAAAAGTTTGTCAATAATAGTAATTTTCTCATTTCTTTCAATTAAAAAAGTCCCACATTTTATTTTGCATTTCTTAATTTTCAGATATGTGTTTCAATAAAAGATTAACCTTAACTGTAACCCAAACCCTCTTCATGGCTCTCTTTTCTTATTTTGCCTAAATAGTTCTTGTCATTCTGCATAAAGCCTAGGTATTATATACAATGCCTAGGGAAAGTATATAGCATCTTGAAATAACACAGACATTTCATACTTTGCCTAAAATGGCTAGTCTAAGGAAAAGAAGAATTATGAGAGACATGATAGCAGTGTTCCAATCTTTGAGGGGCTGCCACAAAGAGGAGGGGGTCAAGCTATTCTCCAAAGTACCAGAGGGCAGAACAAGAAACAACGGATGGAAACTAATCAAGGAGAGAAGCAACCTGAAATTAAGGAGAAACTTCCTAACAGTGAGGACAATTAACCAGTGGAACAGAAGTTGCCTCCAGAAGTTGTGGAGCCTTCAGCACTGGAGGTTTTTAAGAAGAGTCTAGACAGTCACTTGTCTGAAATGGTCTAGGTTCTCCTGCTTGAGCAGGGGGCTGGACCTTCAATGTCTCTTCCAGCTCCATCAGGCAGTCTATAGATTTCCTAGGCATTCTACACAATGCCACCTTTTCACACATTACTGGTAATATACATAAATCAAACCCTTCACCCCCTTTTAATATTGTTTTATTGTATTATTATAAAACAAGAGCAGTACATTATTTGGGTACAGTGGTATTTATTCAAAATGGACTAGAGTTTATTAATACTTTGATGATTTAACTTAATTATCAAGTTAAAATTTTAAAAATAAAGAAAAATGTTTGTCAATATGATTTGTATATTGCGTATTTGTCGCCAATCAGCTTTTTTCTTATTTTCCTCCCCTAAAACTAAGGTGCATCTTATAGTCCGAAAAATACAGTAAATCAAAGCGAAACACAAATTTATCATCCCAAATCAAGATAAACCCTGCTGCCAAAACAAAAGCAGGGAAAAACATTTTTGTAAAGAGGGTCTTTACTGAGGGATCTTGCAGGAAAAAGATGTTCCTGCGTGTGTGAAGGAATTATTTTTCTTTCAGGACTCCCAAGAAACCTGCTTCTGAGAAATGATCTGGGACTCTCCATAGTTGCTTCAACCCTCTGCGGGCATCCCACAGATCAGTCTTAGCATGAAGCAGTCAGAAACTGTGCAAAGATAGCACCTACCTTGGCAGAAAAAAAGGAAGAGCCAGGCCACTGGAAAAGGGAAGCACATTCCCAAACCCCTTTATGGGCACGCACCTGGCATGATTTCAGGGAAGAGAAGCCTAGCTCAGACTCTGTGTCCTTTCAGCAGCTGCAGGTAAAAGCAGAACTTGCTGATTTTGTGGAAAAGGGACACAAAATCAGGGCACTTGAGGGCACTGAGCCCTGGAAGCCAAAGTCCCATGGAAGGACCAGAAGGCAAAGAGGATTTCCAAGGGGATTTGATCCCAGTCCTAATCTTGGTTAGGCCTTGGAAGAGACTGTCCACTACAAATTCAATCGTGTCACTATCTCCAGTCACGATGCGAGGCCTCCCCAGTGATGCCATTGCAGGGGTGAGCAAAGATGTCAGGTCAGATCAAAATCATGCATTTCAAAACAGCCCAACTGTCTGGCTCCTCAAACTAACAAAGGGAGAGACTAGTTCAGAATTTTACAAATCCATAGTTTGGTGGGGTTTTTTGTTTTTGTTTTATTTTGTAGCGCTGAATTCCTATTCTGGTGTTGATGGGGAGATGTAGCCATTGGCTGGTCAAAGAAAACAAGGGAAGAACAAACACCCTCACTTAACCCCACAGAGGAAACGTAAGAGAAGTCTAGAAAAGCTGCCCTGCTCCAACAGGGACTCACCTATGAGAACAGTCTCCTCTGAATGGCTTTCCATGATCGGTTTGGAGAGAGGAGGTTTTGATCTGTGAAGGAGGAACAGAAAGGGAAAAGAGAGCCCATGAGTCACCAGGGAAGGTCTCATTGTTCCTACACCAAAAACAGAATGGGTCTGGACTTTCTGAAAACAAGCCAAGGGAGTGGGCTGCAGGATCACCTTCTGCACTGGAATAAGTGAAGAAGTAACAGAAATAAAAATAAATAATAATTGAATAAGAAATTGAAATGAGAATAAAGATAATTAGGAAATCGGGGCTGCTTGAATACCACTTTAGACTGAACTGAAAAGGGAAACAACAGGAGGGGAAGAAGTAGAGAGAGAGGAAGGGAAAAGAGAGGAGAGGAGAGAAGAGGAGAAAGAAGAAAGGGAAAAGGAGAGGAAGAAGAGGGAGGGGAAAGAGGAGTAGAGGAGAAGATTAGAAGGAGGGAAGAAGAGAGGAGTGGGGGAAGAGAAAGAGAAGTAGGAAAGAGGAGAGAAAGAACTAAGGAAGTAGGAGGAGAAACAGGGGAAGAGAAGGGGAGGAGAAGAAGAAAGGCTGGAGTAAAGGGTAAAAGAGCAGCCCTGAAAAAGTAAAAATGAAAGTTAAAAGAAAAGATGAACGAAAAATGATGGAAATCACTGTACATGTAAATGTGTTTATGAAAAATAAAAATAAAAAACTTTATAAAAAAAGAGATGCTTTCAAGAGGAAGAAAGACAATGCAATCTTCATTGTTCAGAATTAATGTATCCATTTCAAGTACTGCAAATCTGTATGGCAGAAATTACAGGTAATCCTTGATTGAAAACCACAATTGAGTTGAAAATTTCTGTTCCTAAGCGAGACGATTGAGTTTTGCACCATTTTACGACCTTTCTTGCCACAATTGTTAAGTGAATCACTGTAGTTGTTAAGTTAGTAACACAGTTGTTAAGTGAATCTGGCTTCCCCACTGACTTTGTCAGAAGTCACAAAAGGTGATCACGTGACCCCGGGACACTGCAACCGTCATAAATATGAGTCAGTTGCCAAGCGTCCAAACTTTGATCATATGACCATGGTCCAACAGTCATAAGTGTGAAAAACGGTCATGTCATTTTTTTCAGTGCCGTTATAACGTTGAACAATCACTAAATGAACTGTTATAAGTCGAGGACTACCTGTAATTTGAAGAATTCTTTAAAAGTACTTTTAGACACCTTAAGCTTGTTTTGAAATCCCAAGATCATATATTTAAGGACATCCACTCTTTACTAACATAGAGAACATTCATGCAATGTTGTCTCGCCATCTTTCCGGACGCACTCTAGGCAACTTTATTTATTTATTAAGAAATAGACTCCCTGGACCCAGGACTTGGCTATAAATCTCTGTTAACTAATCAAACATTGCTTAACTTGGCTTGAACCTATCAGAAAGCTCTGACACTTAAGCTAGATAATTACCGGTAATTTACAGATATATTAGAAAGTAAAATTATTTTCATGCTTGTCTGTTTTACATTTTATTTAAGAAGTCTGCATTATATATAGTTTTAAGAATGCTTGTTTTTTAAATATATTTCTGATTATTACAGCAATACTTTGGTCTGTGCTAATCCTTAAATCCAACAATATATGAAAGTAGTTTTTTATAGATATAATTGTTTGACTGATTGTATTTATAAGCTAAGGCTATCCTATTTAGATATTTTACAGTAATTAGGGTATGCATATAGGACATTATATAATTATTTGTGGTCATTTTTGCATGTCTTTTTATTGCCTTCTCTGGCAGCATGATGCAAAAGATTAGAATTATTTCCTCCTTTGTGTGGGAAAAGAAGATTTCCTGTTACTTGTTTTGTTAACAGACTAAACTGATTAAATTAAGTTTACTTTATTGTCATTGCACCTCGTACAACGAAATTAAATGTTATCTTCTGTTTATCTGTTTGCTTTTAATTGTGCAAGAATTTATTTGATGAAGGGAACATTCCTGCTTCTCAATTGTTTAAAACAATCTTCTGCAAAACAATCATAGCAGCTTTAAAGGCCATTATGAAATTGTAACTAAAATTCACCTTTCTATTTTCAGATTAACACAAAAAGAGGGGGGAAAACTATCTTCTTCAACGTTATGTGATAGCAGCTACAATGAACTATCACTTGTCCAATATACTGACAAAAAGAATGGCACCCTTTCTTGCATTTTGGCAAAACTGCAACTACTATGCAGAGCTCTTGCTGTGGAGCAAACAGGAGATGTGAAAAGGCAGAAACGTACAAAAACTCCTTCATCAAACATTCACAGTAGTACAGTCACGTCTAATCGGACAACACTCTAGAAGCGCAATTAGTAGGATAGCAAATAAGATTTTACATATATTCTCTTGTGTTACATCATATTTTCACAACAAAGTAATTAAAATATAACTTAGTATCACTTCTAGTCATTTTGTTCTAAAATTCTTCTCCAAAGACAAATGCATTCATTCAGTTGTTCAAATATACCACAGATTCCAGCACTTACTTGATGTAGTGAATTTTTCTTGATACTATAGATGGAAAATCAACTTCAAAGTATTTCAAAGGAAGAAGATTCTCATCCTGAAAAGGGGGTGGGGGACACATAAATTCCAATATTTTCACTGAGAGCAAAAGAAACATTCCATTGCTTTGCCTTAGGTCCTGACTTTTGTGACTTCAAGGTTGCTAGACTAGGATTCTGGAATCATAGTTAGGCATGTCTTTCTCCTGTTCATACTATATTCCTAAACCTAATCCCCCACCTATTCTAAGCAAAAAACTGGGAAAAAGATGGAAGCAATGACCCAACCCCAATAATCTGCTTGAGAGATGTTAGATGGGCTGATTTACCCTCTATTCAAGAACGTTGATTTACTAGTAAGAGAAAAAGTAGACTTCTAGGAGCAGAATTTTTTACTATCTTGTGCACTCCACAGATCATGAAATGCTCAGCCACGTCCAAGTTTAGTGGCTGCATGTTATTTTCTAGAAACCATTTTCACTGATATACAACACCAACAAAATGCTTTGTAAATTACAGTGTGTCCTGTGAATTAGAACAAATAGCTAAATTCTCTGGAACATAAACCACACTTACACACTTACAACACTGTTCTGTTGTAAGGTAGAAATCTGGTGTCCTTAATATATTTTGGATAACAAGGCCCCATAATCCTTTGAACTATATTGGATGGAGTTGATGACACTTGACATCCAAATTATCTAGAGGATACCAGTTTGTCTACCTCTTCATTATATAATCAATAAAAGGGGGGGGGGAGACAAAGTATTTTAGAAATTATAATCAGAGATCACACTTGAGATAACATAAGCTATTTCACCTTTAATTTCCAAAACAGAGTATCCATGCCGGCACCAAGATTTATAATTTGGCAATTGCATTTTGTCTTTTCTAAGAAAGCCTTAAGTAAACGACCAACTCCTTGGACCCGGGCATAATACCCTTAGAAAAATAAAGCAAAAAAACAACAACCAATTAGTTGACAATTTTTAGCTTTAAAAACATTTGAAAATGATTTTGTTAGTTAGCTCCCATCCACCACCCATCTCTTCTGTTCTTCTTTTTGCCATATGTTAATGAAGCAATACAAATTGCCCCACACACATTTGTTTATAACCTACCACGGCTGATTTCAGGTGCCTTCCTTTCTTTTGGATGGCTTACAAAATGTTCAATGTAAGGGTCTTTCCAGTAGCCAACACTTACAGCATACCTGACCACAAAAAGAAAAAGTGTTTTAACAAATCCAATTCCATTGAAAACAAAATATTTTAAATAAAACAAAACATACACTATATGAATATCAGTCTAAATTAGAAAAATAAGTCTTATGCATTTTAAATAAATTAGCCTAATTAATAGTTATTCCATAACAGTATTATGTTTAAGAGTTTAAGAGATAGCAAAGAGCCTCTCAAAATCTTTATGACTTTCAGAAGGCAGATAGGAGTAGAAAACTGTGGACCATCAATTTGGGAGAAAAACACTGGATCAAAACCAAATTTGTACATATCTGGATGCAAGGAGAGAGCTAGTGTAATAGGATTAAAATATCTGCTTACAGCAGAAATCAATATTAAAGCATCCCCTATAAATATTTATCCAGTTTCTGTTTAAAGACATTAAGTGGGGTGCCCCAAACATGGCACAATAGTTGAGGCTACCATAGTGCTATCAAGAATAGAATGATTATTTTGTGGAACTATGATTTGGAACATACAAAAAATCCTTGATTGATGCTGACTGAAAGTACGGGTAGTCCTCAATTTATGACAATTGAGCCCAAAATTTCTGTTAAGTGAGATATTTGTTAAGTGAGTTTTGCCCCATTTTATGACTTTTCTTGCAGTGAATCACTGCAGTTGTTAAATGGCTTCCCCAATGACTTTGTCAGATGATTGCAAAAAGCAATCACGTGGTCTTAGGACACTGCAACTGTCATTTTTAAAAAAAAATTTTGATTTATATGTATAGCTTACAATGCATTAAGCAATAGCCTTCATACTTTTGTATATTTAAATGAAGTCAGCTTATTGCCCCCACAAACTGGGTCCTCAATTTACCTACCTTAGAAAGGATGGAAGGCTGAGTCAACCTTGAGCCTGGTGAGATTCGAACTTACAGTAATTGCAGACAGCTGGTGTTAATCACAATGCTATCAGTCTGCTGAGCCACCAGGCCCGTTAAATAAATATGAACCAATTGCCAAGCATCAGGATTTCAATCAATATGAGCATGGGGATGCTGTGAAAAATGGCCATAAGTCACTTTTTTCCCTGCCCTTGTAACTTTGAATAGTCACTAAATGAACAGTTGTAAGTCGAGGGCTACCTGTACCCTTGCCATTTTGGCAACCAAGTCATGCTGTTGATTTATAACCAGCTTCTGATCATCTACATTCCTATCCCCCCACTCCCCCCAGTACCAACAATAAATAAGGCTCTTCTAGATGGCTGGAGAAACAGCAAAGACCCCCGAGGTCCAAATCTCCCTCCAGCCATTAAGCTGTGGAGTGGGAGGCGGGAAGGCAGGGAAAAGCCAGGCATTCGCCTTTGGGGCCGCCCTGGCGAGCCTTGGCTCCTGAGATCTCCTAGTGGTCTCCCATCCCGGCCTGCGGGTGCCAAGCCCCTTCGGCTTCCCAGAGGCGCTACCGCCCGCTGACTGGCGAGCCACCATCCGCCCGCCCCGATTCAGCGGGCCCTGCCGGCCGAGAAAGGGGCCTCCCCGCCCGCCCGCCCGCTCTCGCCCTCCCCGCGCCGCTGCTTCACCGCTTGCAATGGGAGGCGACGTCGCAGGTGCTCCGCACGGCCTCGTCGAAGACGTCGGTGCCCAGCACGTCTCGGGAAGGACCGGCCATGGCCGGGCGCGGCTGCTCAGCGAAGGGACGCCGGAGAGGAGTGCGGGCCGCCCATGCCGGGCCGACGCCGCCGAGGTCCCCTCAGAGCGCGACGTCGCCGGCACCAGCCAGCAACGCGCTCCCCCATTGGCCGGGCCAGGAAGCGGCCCTTAGAAGGCTGGACGACGGCGTTCTCCCCACCCCTTTCCCGTCCTATTGGCCAGGCTGTTGCCGATAGCCAATCAAGAGCGATACGCGCCGTATAGCGTGTGGTGCGAAAAGCAAAGTACGCCGGGAATTGTAATCCTCTGCTGAAAGGGGGCGTGTTTTCTGCTTAGAGGTCGGAAACGGCCCCTCGGCATTATGGGAATTGCAGTCTTACTCGCGAGGTTCGCGGACAGTCGCGAAAGGGAACCAAAGCTCCAAGTATGCAGGGATCCGCATGTTGCTCGTTTCCCACGATCGGCTGGCCGGTGAAACAATCCCCCATTTTCGTCATCCTGTCACAGTTACGTACTGTATATAATATTTTGTCGGTGTTTCTCAACCTGAGCAATTTTAAGATGTATGGACTTCAATTCCCAGAATTCCCCAAGGAGCCTGGGAGCTAAAATCCACACATCTTAAGGTTACTCGTATTAAGAAACACTGCAAGTACAATATATACACGAAGGTTCGCTGAAAAAGCCATGTTTTAAAGGCTTTCCTAAATAACAGGGTCACGGCTGATAAACTGGCCCGCAGGGTGGGTGGAGGCATGTAATTAATTAATCAGTGGGTCATCAAGCCCAACAGGAGACCGACGTTGCATGTCCTGTCCGTCATTCCATCTGGCAGGAGCAAGACCTACTCCTTCGGGAGTAGGGCGGTATACAAATTAAATAAAATGAAAAATAAAATGAAGACCTGCCTTTTCTGCCGTGGTTCCCACCTTCTGGAACGTCATGCCCCCCCCCTCCCCAAGCCCCATTCCCCATTCCCCCTCAGCCCATTCCTGTTAGTCTTCTGGAAAGCCTGTAAAACATGTTTTTCCAGCAACCTTGTAGATCCATGGGGATCCTGCGGGGTGGCTGCAGATGTTAGGGGACTGTTATTTTCCCACAATCTTTTTGTAACATGGTTACAAAAACCATGGAGTTACAAAAACTCCTATGGAGTAGGAATGGATTTCCGGAGAAAAATTGCAGACTACTGGAACCAGGTGCACCACTCAGGTGACCCTGAGGACACAGATAAATCTCCAAGTGCTTCAGATAGGATGCAAATGTCCAGCTGTCTGCAAGGAATATAAACCCTTCCATTCCCCACTATCCTGTCAGAGCTGAAGAAGCTTCTTGGATGAGAAGCAAAACGTCTTCAAAAGAAAAAAACAAGAAAGTCCAGTTGCCTCCTGAAAAAGCACCTTTGGGACAACCATGACCTGGATGACAGAGAATCTCTACAGACTTTTTGTAACATGCTTTTATTTTCATTCATGGGGTGTGATGCTAGTTCGCCTCCTCGTGGTGCACCCTGGATAGCAAGGTAGTGTGAACCAAACGACTAGCAACAAGTGGCAGCCAGACTAATTTCCTGGCTCTCTTAAGGGTTAAACCACTATAAATCCATGTATTTGTCATATACTAAATAAATATTTATTCGTGTTTCAGAGTCTTAAAGATTATACTATTTTAACTGTTATTGTGGTTACACATGGAGATGGGCAGCTATGGTTTGCTAAATAAACATTGGCTAAATAAACATGCTATGGTTGACTGAAAAGGTCCCATGCAACCTGCCTTTGCAAAACCAGCCTGTCTCCCCTCGCATCCCAATCTTTTGGGATTATCCTTTTGGAAGACTGCTTAACCGGCTAATAATGGGGGTCGGGAAGAAGAGGCTTTCTCCACGTGACCAGCTCCCCCTCCCCCAGGAAGCTGCCCTATCTGCCATGCCTCAAGGCCAAGCGACCCTCGCTCAGAAACGGCCAGCCAAGGGCCGTCCGCCACCTCGATCCGCTGGGCGGGCTTCCCGTCCTCCAGAGCAGCAGCGCAACTCCCCCGCCCAAGGAGAAAGCGCCCCCGGGACGTGGGAGGAATGTGCCGCCCTGCGCACTCCTCTACCCTTTCCTAACTCTTCAAAAGCACCGGACGCGGCCTTTCTACCCTCTGGCTCTCTATGGCCCTGACGGAATTTCCGGGCGCCGCCCTGTGCTCCGGAGCAGGCAGGCAGGCAGGCAGGCAGGGCGGGCGGTGACGCGCCGGCAGCCGGAAGTCGCGGCGCCTTCCGGTGGGACAGTGAGGTGGAAGCCGGGTCTGCCGCTGCGGGCTGCGCTGGCGAGGCGGGCCGGGTGTCGCGCGCGGGAGGCGCGGTAATAGCGGGGAAGCGACGGCGGCGCCGCCACCATGAAGAAGCAATTCAACCGCATGAAGCAGCTGGCCAACCAGACGGTGGGCAGGTGAGGGCGCCGGGGCTGCGAGGGCCGAGCCCCCCGTCTCCCCCTTCTGGGCTGGGTGGGCGGGGGGGGGCACAGGCGCCGGCTCCGACACCAGGCCCGGAAGGAGCTTCGTGCCTTCCCGCCGGGGCTCGAGGCGTTGCTGTGGGAAGCTCAAGAAACTCGGACCCCGCGGGCTGGTTCTGGCGGTCCCTGCAAGGAGGCCGGTTCGTGGGCGTCCCTGCCTGGTTCACCCACTTGGGTGGGGAGCGAAGTGGGAATTCCCGGCTGGGCTTCGAACAGGCCAGGCTAAATGGGGGTTGGTGTGTCACGCAGAGAGGTTGGAAGGGAGAGTAGAAGTTATCCTGTCTACCGGTGTGTCCTTAGTTTATCTGCCTTCCAATTGTGTGTCAAGCAGGTGGTGATTCTGGCAGAAAAGGTCCTTTCTCAGTACTTGTTCACTCGGGGAAAAAGAGTCATAAGGGAAAGCAGTTGCTCGGCTAAATTCTCTTTAAATGCACTTGTAGCCTCTTAAATGAAAGACACTCGGTATTATATAAAGTTGACCTAAGAGGGACATCTTGGGCTACATTATGAGCCAGTAGTGGTGATGAGGGCTCCTGTTGTATTGAGGGGGCAATTAACAAATGCATTCTATAATTAGTTGCAGTCATTTCATCAGAGCGATCTGCCAAAAAGGACTTTGAACCCACAGAAACCTGTGGTGGTGTATGTTATTGTCAAATATTTCATTTTTATTTCAGAAAATAAATAAATTGAGCTGGATAGTCATCTTTCCATCTTCAGTTTCCTGTAGCACTGCAGATGTTTATTACCTCCGTCCAGTATTTTAGCCTACTGAGTAGACAGGTTAAATACAGAAATCTAAATTAGAGGAAGTGGGAAATCTGAGGACTCAGATGCCTTGAGTTGACCTCGTTTATTTATTTTATTTATTAGTTGCATTTCTATGCCGCCCAACTCCCTAGGGACTCTGGGCGGCTTACAGCAAAAAAAAACAATGGGAACAATATCCCGTAAAAATTTAAATGCTTAAATGCAGAGAGTCAGACTGGTGTAGCAGTAAAAGCCCCCAGTGTAGAAACCAGGAGATTCAGTTCTAATTCTGCATTAGGCACAAAGTCAGCTAGATCCCTCTTGTTTCTGGTTAGAAAGGAGACACCAGTCAAACCACTTCCAAAAATGTTGCAAGGAAAACTACAAAGACTTCTTCAAACAGTTGCCCAGTGTTGAGTCTGTATTGAAGGCAAACACGCACACATATAAATAGACATTGCCAATAACAGATAGCACCTGGTTTAGTTTGAAAGAATCAGGCCTGATTAGTACTTGCATGGGAGATAATTGGGAAACCAAGCCATTAGGCCAGGTGGAAACCTAAAGAAAGAGGAAAGTTTAGAGAACTGAGCAGCATTTTAAACTTGTCAAATAAACAAAATAATGGCAATCTCTGTTTCTTTCTACTGAGAAAATTGCATGTAAATCACCTGTTGAAAATAATTGACTTTCCACTGCACTAATTGCTTTTAGATAAGCCTTTCTTTCTCAGCCAAATTGAAGATAACATGTAAAGAATTTATATGGCTCCCTAACTCAAACAATGGGAATCTGGGCTGCTCACAAGAGGAAACAAATCAAGATAAAAGCAACGGAGCAGGAAAGGGAGATGGGGACAATCGGTGTCTCTACAGAAAGGCACACCTTCCAAGTCCCAACAGGTTTCAAGGAAGGGACCCAAAATTTGTCCACCATATATTAAAGCATAAAGACAAGCAGATGGCCTTGTGGAGAAGCGATCCCACAGATAACCAGACCTTTGGCCTAAATAGCTTTTAAAGTGTATATTGTACTGTATGAAATAATTTCAGTGCTAGGAGTTCCTATATAAATATTTACAATTGGTGTTCTACTTAATCAAAAGTATTTCAACAGTAGCAGTCTAATTTGATTTGTAAAAAGCTATTAATATAGCAATTTAGAGAGTTTCCAAATAGTAAAATAGCTAGTACAGATAGTCCTCGACTTATAACTGTTCATTTAGTGACCATTTGAAATTAGAACAACACTGAAAAAAGCGACATGACCATTTTTCACATTTATGACCACTGCAGCATCTCCATGGTCAGGTGATCAAAATTCAGACACTTGGCCACTGGTTCATACTTACGACCGTTGCTGTGTCCCAAGATCATGTGATCCCCTTTTGCAACCCTCTGACAAGCAAGGTCAATGGGGAAACCAGATTCATATAACAACTATGTTGTTACATAACAATTGTAGTGATTCACTTAACAACTGTAGCAAGAAAGGTTGTAAAATTCACTTAACAACTGCCTCACTTAGTAAGAAGCAGCAAGATTATTATCTGCACAAAAGTGGAAGGACCCTTCTGTTCCCACAAATGCTGCAGAAGCTGAAATGGCAAAATTGACTATTTTGACTAAAGAAAAGAATATTAGTGCTTTTGTTTCCCCACAGAGACAAAGCTTCTGAACTTTGTGCTTGAAATGGAAAAGAATGAAACTTTGATTTTGAGTTTTAGATTGATAGATGCTTATAGAAAGCATCTATTATTATGAAATTATTATGAAAAAAACAAAAAGGTGTGGTTTGATGTTAATGCTTTATTCTACTGGAACAGAGGGAGTCAGTTGGAAGTCAGTGCTTTTTCTTTTTCCCAACCCTTCCTCACTTC